GAGGATGTTGTCTGTGTGGTCCTGTGGGTTGTTGTGTTTGCTGGTTCAATGTCTGGGTTGCCCTGCCTGTCTCTAGCCTTGTCCCTCTTGCCTGTCCCCTTGCATCTTTGTGCCCTTTCAGTTTCTGTCGTTCTGTTCTGTTGGTGTCGTGTTCAAGTTACACCTGCTGAAGTTTCTGCTACAGGATCTTGTGTCACACCAGATCAATTTGACTGGAGGTTTTTTTTCCCACGAGTATCTCCCTTTTCTCTGAAAGTTTGTCACCTCGGTCATGTTCTTCTCTCATGTTTGATGATATTTTAATTTTTTTCTCCATCTGTTATATTTTTTTGCGTGTCATCCTTTCCTGTGTATTCACCTAATTGTGGTTGCAGGGGTCGAGACTCAGCTCCTGGCCCTGCCTCTTCACTGATCGCTATTAGGTCCTATCTAACCCTGCTTTATGAACTTTATCATACCTCGTCTTAAAGCTATGTATGGTTCCTGCCTCCACTACATTACTTGCTAGACTATTCCACTTCCTGACAACTCTGACTGAAGAAATACTTCCTAACATCCCTTTGACTTATCTGAGTCTTCAGCTTCCAATTGTGACCCCTTTGTCTCTGTGTCCCCTCTCTGGAACATCCTCTGTCCACCTTATCTATTCCAGCAGTATTTTGTATGTCGTTATCATGTCTCCCCTAACCCTCCTGTCCTCCAGTGTCGTCAGACCGATTTCCCTTAACCTTTCTTCGTAGGACATTCCCCATAGCTCTGGAACTACCCTTGTTATAAACCTTTGCACTTTCTCTAATTTCTTGACGTGCTTGACCAGGTGTGGGTTCCAAATTCATGCTGCATACTCCAGTATGGATCTGACGTACACGGTGTACAGTGTATTGAACGATTCCTTACTAAGGTATCGGAACACTATTCTCAGGTTTGCTAGGCGCCCATATGCTGCAGCAGTTACCTGGTTGATGTGTGCTTCCGGAGATGTGTTCGTGTTATACTCATTTCAACATCTTTCTCCTTGAGGAGGTTTGCAGTCTTTGGCCACCTAGCCTATACGCTGTCTGCAGTCTTCTTTGCCCTTCTCCGAGCTTCATGACTTTGCATTTGGCATGACTTTGCATTTGACATGTCGGTGAATAAGGTTTTCCAGTACCACATCCATCATCTTGGCTCTACATGTCTTGGGACCCCCATGTGGCTCATGGTCTTCCCAATCAATCTTCCTGTGGATGAAGTCGCCCATAACCATTAACTTTACTCGAGTGAGCTCTTCTTGCTACCTCAGCTATTATGTCCACCATTGCTCTGTTGCAATCATCACATTCCTCTCTTGGCTTGCTGCAGTTCTGTGGTGGGTTATACATCACTGCAATGACTACTTTATGTTCCCCTAACTGAACTGTACCTATTTTGTAATCTCTTTCTCCAATCAAGTCCATTCCTTCCATTTCCTGATATCCCCATCGGTTTTTAATGAGCAGTGCAACCCCTCCTCCCGCTCTGCTCCTTCTAGCCTTCCTCAGGATCTGATATCCGGGTGTGAAGATTGCGTCTGTTATTGTCCCAGTAAGTTTTCTGTGATTGCTATGATGTCTGGGGACATCTCGTTGATTCTTTCATGCCACTCTTCACATTTATTCGTTATTCCTCTACATTCGTGTGTGTGTGTGTGTGTGTGTGTGTGTGTGTGTGTGTGTGTGTGTGTGTGTGTGTGTGTGTGTGTGTGTGTGTGTGTGTGTGTGTGTGTGTCTGTGTGTGTGTCTGTGTCTGTGTGTGTGTGTACTCACCTAATTGTGGTTGCAGGGATCGAGTCATAGCTCCTGGCCCTGCCTCTTCACTGGTCGCTACTGGGTCCCTCTCCTTGAACCATGAGCTTTATCATACCTCTGCGTAAAGCTATGTATGGATCCTGCCTCCACTACATCGCTTCCCAAACTATTCCACTTCCTGACTACTCTGTGACTGAAGAAATTCTTCCTGACATCCCTGTGATTCGTCTGTGTCTTCAACTTCCAACTGTGTCCCCTTGTTGCTGTGTCCAATCTCTGGAACATTCTGTCTGTCCACCTTGTCAATTCCCCTCAGTATTTTATATGTCGTTATCATGTCCCCCCTATCTCTCCTGTCCTCCAGTGTCGTCAGGTCGATTTCCCTTAACCTCTCCTCGTAGGACATACCCCTTAGCTCTGGGACTAGTCTTGTTGGAAACCTTTGCACTTTCTCTAGTTTCTTTACGTGCTTGGCTAGATGTGGGTTCCAAACTGGTGCCGCATACTCCAATATGGGTCTAACGTACACGGTGTACAGGGTCCTGAACGATTCCTTATTAAGATATCGGAATGCTGTTTTGAGGTTTGCTAGGCGCCCATATGCTGCAGCAGTTATTTGGTTGATGTGTGCTTGAGGAGATGTGCCTTGTGTTATACTCACCCCAAGATCTTTTTCCTTGAGTGAGGTTTGAAGTCTCTGGCCCCATAGACTGTGCTCCATCTGTGGTCTTCTTTCCCCTTCCAGGCCTGCAGCCTGTCCAGATCCCTTTGTAGTTCTGCCTGGCCCTGTAAACAGGGACACTTCGGAGTCTATTCCTTCCGTCACGAATACCAGAAACAGTACCGATCCTAGGACTGACCCCTGTGTAACCCCGCTCGTCACAGGTGCCCACTCTGACACCTCGCCTCGTACCATGACTCGCTGCTGTATTCCCGACAGGTATTCCCTGATCCATTGTAGTACCTTCCCTGTTATCCCTGCCTGATCCTTTAGTTTTTGCACTAATCTCTTGTGTGGAACTGTGTCAAACGCCTTCTTACAGTCCAAGAAAATGCATTCTACCCACCTCTCTCTCTCTTGTCTTACTGCTATCATCCTGTCATAGAACTCCAGTAGGTTCGTGGCACAGGATTTCCCGTCATTGAAACCGTGTTGGTTGTTGTTGATGAGCTCATTTCTTTCTAGGTGTTCCACTTCCTGACATCCCTGTGATTCGTCTGTTACTTCAACTTCCAACTATGTCCCCTTGTTGCTGTGTCCCATCCCCCATTGTGTGTGTGTGTGTGTGTGTGTGTGTGTGTGTGTGTGTGTGTGTGTGTGTGTGTGTGTACTCACCAAGTTGTGGTTGCAGGAATCAAGTCCACTCCACTTCCTTTTCCATGAGTTTTTATCGCACCTCTTCTCAAAGTTAAGTATGGATTTGCCTCCACTACATCATTCTCCAGATTGTTCCACTTCCTGATAACTCAGACTTAAGAAATATTTCCTAACATCTCTGTGACTCATCTGAGTTTTTAACTTCCAGCTGTGCCCCTTGTTGCTGTGTCCCATCTTTGAAACAGTGCCACTATCCACCATGTCAAATTCTCTTAATATTTTCAATGTCTTTATCATGTTCCCTTATCCCTTGTGTCATCCAGTGTCGTCAGGTGATTTCCCTTAACCTCTCGTCTTAGGGTATACGACTTAGCTCCAGGAATAGTGTTGTTGGAACGTTTGCAGTTTCTCTAATTTCTTGATGCGCTTAACCAGGTGGGGGTTCCATACTGATGCTGCCTGCATACTACATTATCGGCCTGACGTACACAGCATTCAGTGTCTTTAATGACTCTTTACTTAGATGTCTAAATGCTATTCATAGGTTTGCCAGGCGCCTCTATGTTGCAGCTATTATTTGGTTGATGTGTGCCTCAGGAGATGTGCTCAGTATGATGCTCACCCCAAGAACCATTTCCTTAAGTGAATTTTGTAGCCTTTGACCTCCTAACGTTGCACTTGCTGGGGCTAAACTCCAGGACCCATTTGTCGGACCAGGCTTACAGCCTGTGCTGATGTCCTTGTAAGCTATCTGATTCTCGCCTGCTTGTATTCGCCTCATTAGCTTCTCATCGTTTGCAAACAGGGACACATCTGAATCTATCCCTTCTGTCATGTAATTCCCTAGAAGCTGCACCGGACCCAAGACTGACCCTTGTGGAACCCCATTCGATACATTCACTCACTCTGACACCTTGTCACGTCCCAACACCCTTTGTTTCCTTCCTGTCAGGTATTCCCTAATCCACTGCATTACTTTCTCTGCTGTTCCCTGCGTTTCAACCAGTGTCTTGTGTGGTACTGAATTGAAAGCCTTCTTATAGACCAAGAAGATGCAATCTACCCATCCCTCTCTCTTACATAACAAACTTACTGAAGTTCTATGATCAGGTAACAGAAGTAATTGTGTTACATTATCGTAGAATTCCAGTAGGTTTATTATGCAAGATTTATTTTCCCCTGATGCCGTGCTGGATGTCATTTATGAGCCCGTTCCTTTGGAGGTGTTCCACCATTCTTCTCCTGATAAGTCTCTCCTTAATTTTACATAGTATACATGTCAGTTACACTGGTCTGTAGTTTAGTGCTACCTGTCTGTCGCCTTTCTTAAAAATTGGGACTACGTTTGCTGTCTTCCACACCTCAGGCAGTTGCCCTGTTTCAATATATTTATTGAAGATTTTGTTAGCGTACACACAGTGTCTCTGCTCCCTCTCTCATGACCACGGAGAGATGTTATCATAGAGATGTAATATATTACCATTGTGCTTGAACCTGATTGAAATACTTGTAAAACATAACTCAAAAATGGCATATTATCGCTACCACAGAGCAATAATATAGCAATAAAAGTGCAATAATATATCTAAGTTTGTGCTGAAAATCTAATTTTAATGATGTCATCATATAATGGTTTAAGTGGCATGTTACAAAGTGCAATAATTTCAGTATCAGAATGTTATAGCTTAACTGTTTACTATAACTGTTAAAACACTATAATTATCTAAGTGGAACATAAAACACTTAGAATGCTATAACTTCGTAGTATTTTGACGGTCACATTACTGTAACTCTCACTGTGCTATAACTTTCACATATCTATAACCGTCAACGTGCTATAACTGCAATAGTATGATAATTACATTTAATATCATTAGAAGTATGGCACTAACTAAACAAAGCAAATAATGACCAACCTCTGCAAACGTTCGTTTTTCCTTTCTTGTCCCGGCTTGGTTGATGGTTTGTGTCAAATTCTTTCCAAGTAATTCCAGTTCACGGCTGATGTTTTCTTGCTGAGTTTCCTGGCACACTCTGAGGACGTCAAAGTAAGAAAGTTGATCAGGAAGATAACTATCTTAACACCCTCTAGCGGTTGGGTTTAGTCCAGACACTTTTCCCTACTCTAAAATATTTTATCTCTCCCACCTATTCTTTGCCAATCCCCACTTCCCCCTCGCCCCTAATGGGTTCTTACCTGTGAGTCCTTAACACCCAGTCATATAGAGGGGGAGGGAGGGGTCCTGCCTGTTTCAGGGAGACTCGAAAAAACAAAATATAGTGGACTGACAAGGTATTAAAATTTAGCCTTAATAGGATCGGAGACTCGGAACGTGTGGTAACCGCGCTCTCAGATTCCTTAAAGAGTTGGGTGACAAACTCATCACGGAAACCAAGGACTCCAGTCAGAATAGCTTCCTTGTCCAGAGACTCAGTGCTGTGATCCAGAAGACTCCTCAAATAACTTAACTTGAAGAAGCGTATAATTTATACCTAAATTTTGCAAGATATAGAATAGGTTAGTTTTAATTTTATTTCTTCAAATCAATGATATATTTTTTCGTTATGTTCTGACTGATCTTTGCTGATTTATGGGAAAAACAAATTTTCATTCTGCTAGTTCAGCATAAAATATCTTTGCCAAATATGACAAATTCGGCGATTCGGCTAAATTGGCAAGACTTTTTCTTTTATTAGCACATCGGCCGCTTCCCACCAAGGCAGGGTGGCTAGAAAATAAAAACTTTCATCATCATTCACTCCATCACTGTCTTGCCAGAGGTGTGCTTTACACTACAGTTATAAAACTGCAACATTAACACCCTTCCTTCAGAGTGCAGACACTGTACTTCCCATCTCCAGGACTCAAGTCCGGACTGCCGATTTCCCCGAATCCCTTCATAAATGTTACCTTGCTTACACTCCACCAGCACGTCAAGTTCTAAAAACCATTTGTCTCCATTCACTCCTATCTAACATGCTCACGCATGCTTGCTGGAAGTCCAAGCCCCTCGCACACAAAACCTCCTTTACCCCCCTCCCTCCAACATTTCCTAGGCCGACCTCTACCCCGCCTTCCCTCCACTACAGATTTATACACTCTCGAAGTCATTCTATTTTGTTCCAGCCTCTCTACATGTCCGAACCACCTCAACAGCCCCTCCTCAACCCTCTGGATAATACGTGGCATCTCCACTGCTCCGGCCTTCTCCTTCTTGCAACATTCACCACCCACGCTTCACACCCATATAAGAGTGTTGGTATAACTATACTCTCATACATTCCCCTCTTTGCTTCCATGAATAATGTTCTCTGTCTCCAGAGACACCTAGTGCACTACTCACCTTTTTTCCCTCGTCAATTCTGTGATTCAAATCATCTTTCATATACCCCTTCTCCTAACACATCCACTCCCAAATATCTGAATACATTCTCCTCCTACATACACTCTCCCTCCAATTTGATATCCAGTCTTTCATTTCCTAATTTTTGTAATCCTCATCACCTTACTCTTTCCTATGTTCACTTTTAATTTCCTTCTTTTACATACCCTACCAAACTCATCGACCAACCTGTGCAACTTCTCTTCAGAATCTCAGGAAAGCACAGTGTCATCAGCAAAAAGCAGCTGTGACAACTCCCACTTTGTGTTAGATTATTTACCTTTTCCTCCTACACCTCTTGCCAACACCCGAGCATTTACTTCTCTTACAACCCTGTCTATAAATATATTGAACATCCCTGTTTAAGCCCTACGTTTACTGGGAAATAATCTTCCTCTCTCTTACATACTCTAACCTGAGCCTCACTGTCCTCGAAAAAACTCATAACTGCTTTCAGTAACCTACACTTGCAACATCTGCCTCATTGCTTCCCTATTCACCACATCATATGCCTTTTCGGAATCCAAAAATGTAATGAAAACCTCTTTACCTTTATCTAAATACTCTTCTCTTATAAAGCTTCACTGTAAACACTTGGTCTACACACATTCTATCCTTCTTAAATCCTCCTTATTCATCTGCGATTTTGCTCTCCATCTTACTCATAATTCTTTCAATGATAATTATCATACACCTTACCAGGTATACTCAACAGGCTTATTCCTTTATATTTTTTATGCTCTCTTTTATCCCTTTTGCCTTTATACAAAGGAACTATACATGTTTCCTGCCAATCCTTACGCGCCTTACCCTCTTCCATACATTCATTCAGTAAAAGCTGTAACCATTCCAAAACTACATCCCCACCCGTTTTTAACATTTTTATCTTGATCCCTTCACTCACAGCTCACATCTTGCTCTTCCTCACTCCTAAAGAATGTTATACCTCCCTGACCAATGCACGATATCACAGCTTCCCTACCTTATTAACATTTAACAGTTATTCAAATATTTCTTACATCTTCCCGATATCTCCAACTCCCCGTCAAATAACACTCTCCTCCTATTTTTAACTGACAAGTCCATTTGTTCTCCAAAGCTTTTTCTTATGCTTGTTAACAAATTTTTTGTTAACAGCATCTCACCTACTCTTTTATTTGCTCTCCTGTTACATTCTTCACCACTCTCTTAACCTCTCTTTTTCTCTCCATATACTCCTCCCTTCTTAAGTCATTTCTACTTTGTAAAAACCTTCATAAGCTAACTTTTCCTCTCTTATTACTCACTTTACCTCATCATTCCACCAATCACTCTTCTTCCCTCCTGCACCCACCCTCCTATATCCACAAACTTCTGCTGAACACTAACACTGCATTTTTCAATCTTCCCTTATACCTCTATCAAGAGTTGTTTATATCGTACCCTAACTGCCTCCTACTTTAGTTTATAATCCTTCACTTTTCTTTTTGATACCATTTGTACCTTATCAGCCTTTTACTATCACCGTAACCTAACTGAAAAATGATCTATCTGTTGCCCCTCTGTAAACATGAATATCCTGAAATCTACCTATCTACCTTTTATTCACCAATACATAGCCCAACAAACTACTGTTATTATACCTTATATCATATCTCATTTACTTATATATCCCTTTTTTTTTCATTAAAATATGTATTATCTTTACCAAACCTCTATACAAAGTTCATTCAAAGGCCCCTATATAAAATATATATATATATATATATATATATATATATATATATATATATATATATATATATATATATATATATATATATATATATATAATTATTTATATATATGAAATGACGAATAAGTAAAATTTGCGATTTTGGCTTAAATAGCAAAGCAGTTATTGCCGAATAAGGCAAGCGAAAATTCGTGTATGCAATTATTTCGCAAAAATCATTCCGAACCTAACGAAAAAAATATATTTCAATGTGTTTGTTTATTATTAAATTACTGTAAACGTATTTAAAATATATATAGTTGGATTAGGTTAAATTAAATTGCGCTTGTTATAATAAAGTTAGGTAAGTTTCCTAAGGTTCTTTTGGTACAAAATTATTAATTTTATATGAATGTAAACGAAAAAATATATCTTTAAATGTATAAGAGAAAATTTTAGGCAGGACTTAATTTTAAATGAGTTCTTGGTAATCGATCAATTACCTATTCGGCATGACATATATATATATATATATATATATATATATATATATATATATATATATATATATATGCTCTATTCTGAAGATGTAGAGGTTGGTGGACGAGTTTGGGAGAGTATGTAAAAGAAATTAAAAGTGAACATAGGAAACAACAAAGTTTGAATATCAGACTGAAGGAAGTATGGAGGAAGTGAATGTATTCAGAAATTTGGGAATAGACCTTCCAGCAGATAGGTCTATGAAAGATGAAGTGAACCACAGAACTGATGAAGATAAAAAGATGAGTGATGCACTGAGGAGTCTCTGGTAGACGAAGAACGTTATCCATGGAAACAAAGAGGGAAATGTATGAGAATATTGTAAGACCAACACACAAACCTTGTTGGAACAGACAAGTGAAGATGTCATGTCTGAATATTATACAGAGAATCCATAGCTTGGAGAATAGAAGGTGTGGGCTCTCTACATGTAATATCTTGAGGGCTGAGTATGGAACAAAACAGAATGACTTGGAGGGCATATAAATGTGTAATGGAAGGAAGTCTGGGTAGGGGTCGTCTTAGAAAAGGTTGGGAGGAGTAGGTAAAAGAAGTTTTGCCTGCAAAGGGGCTTAGACGTCCAGCAAACATGTTTGAGCAATTAGACAGGAGCGATTGGAGGCAAATGGTTTTTATTACTTGACGGGCTGTTGGACTGTGAGCAAAGTAACGTTTAAGAAGGGATTCAGGGAAACCGGTTAGCATTACTTGAGTCCTGGAGATGGGAAATACAGTGCCTATGTTCTGAAGGTGGGGCGGAGGTATCTTGCAGTGTTTGAACTTTAGTGAGGCACGTCTCTGGCAAGACAATGGTGGAATGAGTGATGATGAAAGTGTTTCTTCTCTTTTGGTTCACCGTGTGTGTGTGTCTGTGTGTGTGTGTGTGTTGTGTGTGTGTGTTGTGTGTTGTGTGTGTGTGTGTGTGTGTGTGTGTGTGTGTGTGTGTGTGTGTACTCACCTATTTGTACTCACCTATTTGTGGTTGCAGAGGTCAAGTCATAGCTCCTGGCCCTTCCTCTTCACTGATTGCTACTAGGTCCTCTCTCTCCCTGCTCCATGAGCTTAATCAAACCCCGTCTTAAAACTATGTATGGTTCCTGCCTCCACTACGTCGCTTTCAAGGTTATTCCACTTCCTGACAACTCTATGACTGAAGAAATACTTCCTAACATCCCTTTGACTCATAGGAGAGTTCAACTTCCAATTGTGATCCCTTGTTTTTATGTCCCATCTCTGGAACATCCTGTCTTTGTCCACCTTGTCAGTTCCTCGCAGTATTTTATACGCCGTTATCATGTCTCCCCTGACCCTCCTGTCCTCCAGTGTCGTCAGGCCGATATCCCTTAACCTTTCTTCGTAGGACAATCCTTTAGCTCTTGGGCTAGTCTTGTTGCAAACCTTTGCACCTTCTCTAATTCCTTGACGTGCTTGACCATTTCTGGATTCCAAACTGGTATGGGCCTGACGAAAATGATGTACAGTCTTTTTAACGATTCCTTACTGAGGTATCGGAACGCTGTTCTTAAACGCCCGTATGCTGTAGCAGTTATCTGATTGATGTGCGCCTCAGGAGATGTGCTCGGTATTATACTCACCCCAAGATCTTTTTCCTTGAGTGAGGTTTGCAGTCTTTGGCCACCTAGATGATACCCTGTCTGCGTCTTCTTTACCCTTCCCCGATCTTCATGACTTTGCATTTGGCAGGGTTAAATTCAAGGAGCCAGTTCCTGGACCAGGCTTGTAGCCTGTCCAGGTTTCTTTGTAGTCCTGCCTGATCCTCTACCGATTTAATTCTTCTCATTAACTTCACATCATCTGCAAACAGGGACACTTCTGAGTTTATCCCTTCCGTCATCTCATTCACTTATACCAAAAATAGCTCTGGTCCAAGGACTGACCCCTGTGGGACCCCTCTCATCGCAGGCGCCCACTCTGACACCACGTCATGTACAGTGACTCGTTGTTGCCTCCCTGTCAGATATTCTCTGATACACTGCAGTGCCATTCCTGTTATGCGTGCCTGATCCTCTAGTTTTGCATTAACCTCTTGTGAGGAACTTTGTCGAAGGCCTTCTTGCAGTCCAAGAAAATGCAGTCCTATCCACCCTCTCTCTCGTGTCTTGTCATAAAACTTCAGTAGGTTTGTGACACAGGATTTTCCTTCCCTGAAGCCGTGCTGGTTTTCGTTTATAAGAATGTGTCTTTCTAGATGCTCTGCCACTCTCCTGATCTCCATGACTTTGCATACTATACACGTCATTGACACAAGTCTGTAGTTTAATGCCTCATGACTGTCTCCTTTCTTAAAAATTGCGACTACATTTTCCATTTTCCATACCTGAGGTAGTTGCCCAGTTTCAATGTTTTAAAAGACTTTTATTAGTGGCACACACAGCATCTCTGCTCCATCTCTAAGGACTCACAGAGAGATGTTGTCTGGTTCCACCGCCTTTGACGTATCAAGTTCACATAGCTTCTTCACCTCTTCCTCGGTTGTGTGTATTTCATCCAACACTCGTTGGTGTACCTCCCTATTCTGAATTTCTGGAGTCCTTCCTGTTTCCACTGTGAATGTTCCTTTAAATCTCACGTTGAGCTCCTCACATACCTCTCGGTCGTTTCTTGTGAACTCCACTCTTCCACACATACCTGGTCCTTGGCTGTTATTTTCCTCCTGATGTGGTTATACAACAGCTTCGGGTCAGACTTGACTTTCAGTGCTATGTAATTTTCGTATTGTCGATGAGCCTCCCTTTTTATGTGTGCATATTCGTTTCTGGCTCTTCTGCTAATCTCTATTTTCCTGGGTCCTTTGTCTTCTGTACTTTTTCCATTCTCCATCACACTTAGTTCTTGCCTCCCTACAACTTTCGGTGAACTAAGGAATCGTTCTGGTCTACCCATTATTTCTGTTTCCTTTGGGAACAAACTTCTCTGCCTCCTTGCATTTTGTTGTCACATAGTCCATCGTTTCTGTTACTGGTTTTCCTGCTAATTCTATCTCCCTTTGAACGTCATGTAGGAGGTTCCTCACGCCTGTGTAGTGCCTCCTTTTGTAGTTTGGTTTATCCTGTCCTATTCCTGCTACCCTCTCCACTTGTAGCTCAACTGTAATAAAAGCACAGAACCACATGATCACTAGCTCAAAGGGCCTTTCGTACGTTATATCCTCTATGTCGAACTACTCAAGGTGAATACTAGGTCCAGTCTTGCTGGATCGGCCTCACCTCTCTCTCTGGTACTCTCTAACATCTTGATCCATGAGGTTTTCCAGTACCACATCCTTCATCTTGGCTCTCCATGTTTTGGGACCCCCATGGGGCTCCAGGTTTTCCCAGTCAATCTCCTTGTGATTGAAATCACCAGAAAATAATAACTTCGCTCTTCTGGCCACCTCGGCTAGTGTATCTGCCATTGCTCTGTTGCCCACGTCGTATTCTTCTCTTGGCCTCCTGCAGTTCTGTGGCGGGTTGTACATAACTGCAATTGTCACTTTGTGGTCCTCAGATTGGATTGTTCCTATGTAGTCCCTTTCGCCCATTCTATCCATTCCTTCCATTTCTTCGAATCCCCACCGGTTTTTAATGACTAGTGCAACTCCTCCCATTCTGCTCCCTGTATCTTTCCTGAGGATTTGATATCCAGGTGGAAAGATTGCATCTGTTATTATTCTGGTGAGTTTTGTTTCTGTGAATGCTATCATGTCTGGGGATGTCTCCTTGATTCTTTCATGTCACTCCTCACACTTATTTTTTATTCCGTCTGCATTTGTGTGTGTGTGTGTGTGTGTGTGTGTGTGTGTGTGTGTGTGTGTGTGTGTGTGTGTGTGTGTGTGTTTGTGTGTGTGTTTGTGTGTGTGTTTGTGTGTGTGTTTGTGTGTGTGTTTGTGTGTGTGTGTGTGTTTGTGTGTGTGTTTGTGTGTGTTTGTGTGTGTGTGTGTGTTGTGTGTGTGTGTGTGTGTGTGTGTGTGTTTGTGTGTGTATGTGTGTGATCATTACTGAAATTTACGTAATTTTTTTGGAAGCTAGTTTCTATCAATAATTTGCTTCCTGCTGGAACTTCCGAGTTATTTTTTTCGAATATCTTTTGTGACTTCTGAAGGGTTAGTTAAATGTATAATGATTTTCATATATACTTGGAGTTTTTTCCCTCAACTTTTCTAGAGAAATGTATTTCCTCACTTAGCCGACCACTTCTCTGAAAATCCTCTTATCTCCTTTTTTTCTACATAAATTTATATTTATTTAGTTTTCTTTTTTTATAAACATAGTAACAAGAAAAAATCCACAGCATATTAAATATCAGACGTCCATCTGAACAACTTATACTCAATTGTTATTAAATATCAGACGTCCATCTGAACAACTTATACTCAATTGTTATTAAATATCAGACGTCCATCTGAACAACTTATACTCAATTGTTATTAAATATCAGACGTCCATCTGAACAACTTATACTCAATGTATTAATATCAGACTCCATCTGAACAACTTATACTCAATTGTTATTAAATATCAGACGTCCATCTGAACACCTTATACTCAATTGTTATTTGTTATTAAATATTAACTTATCAGCTATTTAGGTTTAAACATTTTCCTAAACGGCGACTATTGTTTTTTTAAACGTCCGTATATACCTGGGTTGGACGCTATGGCATTTTACGTATATTTGTCCGGGTTCACGTCTCTAGGTGTCCACCAATTTTAAGATTTTTCTCTAATTATTTCTGCCCAAATGCCTGAAAATCTTGGGGCAAAGGCTAATCCTAACTATTCATACTTTGTCTGTATTAAAGATAGTTGTATGAGACACATATTTTTTTTACCCTACTGATCAATCAGTTGCCAAGACATACTTTTCCTATATGAAGACTCTTGTGTAAATATACAAACATTCTCTATTTCGAGGTTCTAGCTTCTAAGACACATGACTCTGTATGAAGACTGAAGTAGCTTAGAATACTTACTCTGTCTGAAAAATCTAGTTTCAAAAATACGTTCATTCTCTGTGAAGGGAAGTTAGTTTCTAAAATATAAACTATCTCTAAATTTAGACCTACCTCTTTAAGACACATACTTTCTCTATAGAGAGTTTCAGGTTTCTAAGATACATACATTCTGTACATGAAAGCTAGAGCCTCTTAAGCTATGTTTATACTATGTTCTTACTAGTTTCTAAGTTACACACATTTTCTACAAGGACTTACTAGTTTCTAACTTACATACCTTCTTTCTTCTGCTGTGTAGTTCCCACAGAGTGTTTCCAGATCTGAAATATTAATGAAACTGTAATGTCGCCAGTGTTGAGTGTAGACAGTGCTGACAGTGTTGAGTGTTGACAGTATTGAGAGTGTTGACAGTGCTGACAGTATCGAAAATACTGACAGTTTTGACAATGACAGTGTGGACAATGTTTAACGTGAAGAAGAGAACTAACAAGGAAGAATTTTATAAAGAAATCATAACATCTACTCATGGCTCCTACATGATTAGTTGATAACTGCTGCACAAGTTTTGCATTTCATTAATAATTAGTGCATCTCGAACAGTGTGCATTTCTTGAATAACTAGCTCATAACACATGCATATCTTTCCTTACTCATGCATAATTCATGCATACTCATGCATAACAACATTCAGTATTGGGCCCCTACTTAGGCGGGATGGGACATACACAGATGACAGCCAAGAAATGAGTGAGATACTAAAGTCCCAATATGACTCAGTGTTCAGCGATCCACTGCCCACTCTAAGGGTCGACAATCCAAATGAATTCTTCATGAACGAAACCCAAAATTTGGTCATCCCAAAATTCTCGGATATTATTCTAACTCCATAAGACTTTGTAAAGGAAATTAATGACATGCCCATGCACTCTGCCCCAGGCCCAGACTCGTGGAACTCCGTGTTCATCAAGAATTTCAAGAAGCCCCTATCACGTGCCTTCAGCATTTTATGGAGAGGGAGCATGGACACAGGGGTCATCCCACACACACTAAAAAAACAGACATAACCCCACTCCACAATGGTGGCAGTAAAACAATTGCAAAGAACTACAGACCGATAGCACTAACATCCCATATCATAAAAATCTTTGAGAGGGTTCTAAGAAGCAAGATAGCCAACCACCTAGATACCCATCAGTTACACAACCCAGGGCAATACGGGTTTAGAGCAGGTTGCTCCTGCCTGTCCCAGCTGCTGGACCACTATGACAAGGTCATAGGTGCTGTAGAGGATAAACAAAATACAGATGTAGTATACACAGACTTTGCAAAAGCTTTCGACACGTGTGACTATGGTGTAATAGCGCACAAAATGCGTGATAAAGGAATAACGAGAAAAGTTGGTAGATGGATCTACAACTTCCTGACAAATAGAACACAGAGTAATAGTAAACAGTAAAGTCCCAGGCAGCCATGGTAAAAAGCTCTGTTCCACAAGGCACAGTACTTTCTCCCATTCTATTCCTCATCCTCATTTCTGACAGATGACGGATGACACCCGGATCACCATGACAGTGACCTCCATCGAAGACACTGCGAGACTCCAAGCGGACATCAACCAAATCTTTGAATGGGCCACTCAAAACAATATGAAGTTCAACGAGGAGAAATTTCAACTACTCAGATATGGGAGACTTGAAGAAATTAAAAATATGTCAGGGTATACGACAAATTCTAACCATACAATTACCTGGGAGTGATAATCTCAGAGGATCTCGCCTTCAAAGACCATAACAATGTATCTACCTCATCCGCTAGGAAAATGATAGATGGATAATGAGAACCTTCAAAACTAGGGACGCCAAGCCCATGATGATTTTCTTCAAATTGCTTGTGCTCTCTAGGCTGGAATGCTGCTGGACACTAATGGCCCCCTTCAAGGCTGGCGACATTGCAGACCTGGAGAGTGTACAAAGAACTTTCACGGCACACTTAAGTGCGATAAGGCCCCTAAACTACTGGGAACGGCTAAAGGTCCTTGATCTGTATTCCCTCGAACGCAGGCGAGAGAGATACATGATAATATACACTAGGAAGGTCCTGGAGGGATTCGTACCAAACCTGCATACGAAAATCACTCCATATGAAAGCAAAAGACTCGGCAGGAGATGCAGCATTTCCCTGATGAAACGCAGGGGCGCCACGAATACACTGAGAGACAACACAATAAGTGTCCGGGGCCCAAGACTGTTCAATTGAATCCCAGAATACATAATGGGATTAACAATAGACCCCTGGCTGTCTTCAAGAAGGCACTGGACAGGCACCTAAAGTCAATACCTGACCCGCCGGGCTGTGGTTCGTACGTCAACTTGCGTGTGGCCAGCAGTAACAGCCTGGTTGATCAGACTAATCCACCATGAGGTCTCGTCTCAGACCGGGCCGCGGGGCGTTAACCCCCGAAACCCTCTCCAGGTAAACTCCAGGTAAACCCAAGAATAATTCGTTGATGATTCATGCAAAAATTGTTCATTATTAGTGCATAATTCCTGTATTATCCGTGAATACCTAGTTCAAATATCCTGCCTAACTCAGAAATAATTCGTGAATAACCAGTGTATAATTCGTTCATCACTCGTGCAAAAAACACGTTCATAACTACTGCCAAACTGTTGCATAACCCGTGCATATATATGTATAATTATAGCGTAAAATTTGTAAATACGCAACTCGTTCAAATTTCTTGCGCGAGCGCGCACGCACGCACGCACGCACGCGCGCACGCACACACACACACACACACACACACACACACACACACACACACACACACACACACACAGGAGAGGGAGCAGAGGCGCTATGTGTACCCCTAACAACAATATTCAATACATCTATCGAAACAGGGAGATTGCCTGAGGCATGGAAGACAGCAAATGTAGTCCCAATCTTTAAAAAAGGAGACAGACATGAAGCATTAAACTACAGACCAGTGTCACTGACATGTATAGTATGCAAAATCATGGAGAAGATTATCAGGAGAAGAGTGGTGGAACACCTAGAAAGGAATGATCTCATCAACAGCAGCCAACATGGTTTCAGGGATGGGAAATCCTGTGTCACAAACCTACTGGAGTTCTATGACATGGTGACAGCAGTAAGACAAGAGAGAGAGGGGTGGGTGGATTGCATTTTCTTGGACTTCAAGAAGGCGTTTGACACAGTTCCACACAAGAGATTGGTGCAAAAACTGGAGGACCAAGCAGGGATAACAGGGAAGGCACTACAATGGATCAGGGAATACTTGTCAGGAAGACAGCAGCGAGTCATGGTACGTGGCGAGGTGTCAGAGTGGGCACCTGTGACCAGCGGGGTCCCACAGGGGTCAGTCCTAGGACCAGTGCTGTTTCTGGTATTTGTGAACGACATGACGGAAGGAATAGACTCTGAGGTGTCCCTGTTTGCAGATGACGTGAAGTTGATGAGAAGAATTCACTCGATCGAAGACCAGGCAGAACTACAAAGGGATCTGGACAGGCTGCAGACCTGGTCCAGCAATTGGCTCCTGGAGTTCAATCCCACCAAGTGCAAAGTCATGAAGATTGGGGAAGGGCAAAGAAGACCGCAGACGGAGTACAGTCTAGGGGGCCAGAGACTACAAACCGCACTCAAGGAAAAAGATCTTGGGGTGAGTATAACACCAGGCACATCTCCTGAAGCGCACATCAACCAAATAACTGCTGCAGCATATGGGCGCCTAGCAAACCTCAGAACAGCATTCCGACATCTTAATAAGGAATCATTCAGGACCCTGTACACCGTGTACGTTAGGCCCATATTGGAGTATGCGGCACCAGTTTGGAACCCACACCTAGCCAAGCACGTAAAGAAACTAGAGAAAGTGCAAAGGTTTGCAACAAGACTAGTCCCAGAGCTAAGAGGTATGTCCTACGAGGAGAGGTTAAGGGAAATCAACCTGATGACACTGGAGGACAGGAGAGATAGGGGGACATGATAACGACATACAAAATACTGAGAGGAATTGACAAGGTGGACAAAGACAGGATGTTCCAGAGATTGGACACAGTAACAAGGGGACACAGTTGGAAGTTGAAGACACAGATGAATCACAGGGATGTTAGGAAGTATTCCTTCAGCCACAGAGTAGTCAGTAAGTGGAATAGTTTGGGAAGCGATGTAGTGGAGGCAGGATCCATACATAGCTTTAAGCAGAGGTATGATAAAGCTCACGGCTCAGGGAGTGACACCTAGTAGCGATCAGTGAAGAGGCGGGGCCAGGAGCTCGGACTCGACCCCCGCAACCTCAACTAGGTGAGTACAACTAGGTGAGTACACACACACACACTGTGGAGAAATTTTCTCCAGGAGGGGGGTATCAGCCCCCTTCAGCCCTGAGGGGCCCAGCCCTCTCAGAAGGGGCAAGCATCTTGTTTACTGCTACAGTGAGTAATTGATCCCAGATGCAGTATCAGTATACGACGTGGCTCGACGCTCCTTGCGGTCCAGTGTTGCAAAGTGTAGTTTAATCAAAGACAGTCCATCTCTTACCTTAGCAGGACAATTAAGGAACATCCTGCTCCCACTTTATTACCATGGTAAAGATAGTGTACATTGTTGTCTATGCTTAAGACAGCAAGAATCAAGCATTCTGCTTTGCTTCATGGAGGAAGTGGCAAGGAAGCAAAAGGTACGAGGTCAGCTTTTCCTTTATGTGCAAGGGGTAGTGACGGTGTATGAGGTTGTGGCGTCTTCAGATTACTTCTGACTCTACTGAGAGTCACACTGACGCCAGGATAACCAACAAAGAACACTGATCTGTGCGTTAGTGTGAACAAAGTGTCTCACAAAACACAATAAACACTTACAGAGAAGTGTGATCAGCTTCTTTAGTGATAAGATTGTGAACAATAAAGACAAATCTTGTGGAACATAGTGTACCAGTGTGCGTATTCCTAGACTATGGAAGACGTGGACATCCAAGGACACTTCAGTTTCTATCAAGTCACCGATATCTGTCGAAGGTGTGAAGAACACCGTAGCTCACGCTACAAGAGCAAAGTGTGTTATAGATTTCTTGTAGTACGGGAGACTGCGCAGTTCTTGAGTCGCAAGGAGTTGTAATCAACCTATAGTCGGCAGTGAGGTGCGGACTTTTGAGTCCACACAAGTACGTAAGTCAGTCATCAGTGAATGAAATATGCTGACATAACACCCCGTAGGGGTAATTTATTGTTTACATAATATAATTAATTTCAGCCCGTTGAAAAATGATCAAGACAGCTACTCAAGACCTCATCTGCAG